GAATTTCCAGAAATTTCCATTAAGCTCCTCATTTCCTTAGAAATATCTTCCCAGAATTGCCCCTTTTCCCCAAAGAATATAAAACTCCAGCAGAAGTTGAACTGATCAACTTTCCCTCTCCTTCACTCCCTGCTCAGCTGTTACCTCTTTTCTTGGACTTGAAAACTTTCAGGGCAGAAGCTATTACTCTGCTATGTGCTTATACAGCCTCAGCAATTATTGCTTTCAGGTGTACTCCAGCACAATGAATGTGTCAACTGTTAAATTACCAATTCTAATTCAAAGAGGGGGTGAAAAATGTTTTAAATCACTTTTTACAACAGGTGGTCCCAAATTTTGGGACTAGAGATTACTGAGCTCAAAACTGCCACGTACAAAGCATCTTTCTCTAGGATGACTCCTTAGTCCAGGGCACAGCTCCATCCATCCAGGTACAGCTTCAAATCCGAAGTGACTGTGCTGCCCTCCTGTGGCTTGTGAAGATTTCAAGCTCCAGAAGTCACACAGACAGCTGAGAAAAACTCTGATGCTGCTCTTGAAAGACACACTGCATAGCTAAACATTACACTTGGAAGAAAGTAAAAAAGCCAAAGTGCTGTTGCAGGGGTATCAAAGGTCTCCTGATGCCTCTGCCTGAAAGGACACCTTCGATTTGCAGAGGAAGCACAGAACAGCCACGTCACTCACCTGTCCCTCAGTTACAACGTGCAGAAAACAGCAATGTAAGTGACCTACAAAAATACTGCAAAAAACCCCCTAAGTTTAAATCTTTGTGCTAATTATGCTACACAGGTAAGTGAATTATGAATCCCCACACTCTTGGATATGGCAAATGGGTGACACAAAACAGCTAAAGGACACAAGCTGTACACCTACCATTGATGTAACTAGGATTTAAGTCTAATGACAAAACATACAGAACAATCTTCAAATAAGCAGTGAAGACATTTTACAGCAAGAAATAGCAGAATACTGAAGCAAATAAAATATCCCATTTAAAGTCAAGACTGGTGCTAGAGAAAATCAATTTAAATTTTACAGTAACTGGTAATATTAAGATATTAGTATATCTGGAAAAAGACTATGAAGAGTAATGTCAACAACAGTTTAACATTTTATCCAATAGCATATCTAGAATATTTGAAGACAGAAAAGTGTTAACTCCTCCTCCTCCTAAATATTTCTAATTAATACAAATATGATAAATATGTTATCACTGCCTTCTCTACACAGTGACACTCTGTAGCACCATATCACCCTTAAGTAGACCTTATTGACCATTAAAGGATATTAATTTCTAGATTTCTAGTCCCCAAAAATACCTCTGATGATGATTTTGAGCCATATTCAGAAGAAAATTTTTGAATCATGTTAATCATCTGGGTATTTGCTGGACATTGTTCCACACCATAACTGCTAGAATGGATCAGCATTCCTTCACTCCTCAGTCGTAATCTTCCACAAAAAATGACCTGCATCTCCATGCTGTGGAGCATGTAGTACAAAAGTAACCTCTAAACCTCTGGTTTAAGAGATGAATTATGTAACTCTGGGGCTCTGCAATCCCATGAATAAGGAACATAGAAATATAAAAGGGAGAAGGAAACTAGCAAACTCTAATACAATTATGTCAGGAGTAAAAGACCAAATAGTTTAAATGAAACAAAGGGCAGAGTTACTTAGCAGGCTACTTAACATTTATTAAAGATTTCTGATTAAGATATGAAAAATTAACAACCTTGTTAAAAAATATCTGCTAGGCACCTATAAGTTAGTGCTTTTGGGGTTTATGCCCTTCCATGTGTCTAATAACTTCAGAGACAAAAGAGAAAAAAAATCTCACAGTCTAACAAATAAAACTTATTTTTCTGTCTAGGGCAGATCACACTCTAATTCTATGCGGGTAAAGTCAGTTTAGGCCACTGACTGTCAAGTGCAGACACTGTCAAAGTTAACTGTGGATTAATCAAAAACATGCTCCAACCATCAGAACCAAGACAACTGTGAATTTACAACACAAATTATGAATTGTCTTCAGTGCTCAAGCCATAAATCTGTAAAACATTTCAAGTGCCAAACTGCAGTATTTAATTTTAATTCTTTAGTATGTTCAGTAAACCAACACAAACCACAGCAGGACCAAAAAAGCCTACAGTGAACTTTATGTACAGTACTCTACAAAACAAATCTCTCCAAAGCCCAATAAACTGCCAATTAACCAGGACTTGTGAACTGTAAAAATCATACCTCCAGGAATCAGACCTCATCAAAACCTGAACTTTTGTTGCAGGGGATATTCAATATGAAGCATTAAAGCTTCAGTAATTCTCTGAGGGCTTACACTTACTCCACAGAGCAAGGGACTGAAACAAAGGTGACACCTTCCAGTATGACAATCAGCCACATGAAAGTCCATCAATCACTCATCACAACAGGATTTTACAGAGCAGGCCAAACACCAAGGAGAATGTGTCCTCAACTGAATCAAAATGCAGCTGTTAGAACTGGGTATCATTCTTTCTAGTGTGATTTTTAATAAGATACACTAGCAACTGCTGTTTTTTCTTTGCAGATTTTGAATATTTCAGAGGCTGTAGGCTTGTCATTTAGATCAAAACATCACTTAAGAAAATGCAACAGACTTCAAGCAAACATAAATATACTGAACTAGTATTCCTTATAATGCATATGCATTGATTTCATGAGGCATGGAAACCAGCCATGTTTTCAAAGAGTATTCATTTTAGTAAATCATTGTGCCTAAAAATCATTACTACATACTAATTTAACATGTAATAGCTTTGCCTCCTGTCTCCAAATAGGCATTATACAAATATAAAATAATTAATTCCCTTCCCTTGTTTTGCTTGGTAACCCAAGACAATCACAAAAGAAAAAGGGAGGAAGACTACAGTAACAGTATGAACAGTGTACACTGTTATCCATGAGTTATCTGGTTTGGTGACATGCCTAAGTTATCATTTCCAGTTAAACCTGAAGAATTTTTTGTCTACAAATTAGTAATTCCATTCAAACTTCCATGAAAATTGTCCCCAGGCCAACTACACAATGTTATATCCCCAAACAGTCAAAAGTCACATATGAAATACAAAGTTTTGCAAGAATACTCTTTCTAAGGCAAGCCAGTAAAAGAAGATATACCAGTATTGCCTATATTACAAAAATGAGCATTTTTGCTTTCTCTTTGTTACTGAAAATTATTTACTTCTCAAGTATGTATCAAGAATGTGAAGCAACCTGGCTGTATTGCCATCAGAGGTTTTCTAAATCTTGAGCTGCAAAATATAATGCACACACAAATGTGGTTTAAACTTACTTAAATGAGTGCAGCAAAACTGTAACTTAAGGGGAAGTTAATGAGAAGCAGCTTCAGTTGAATTTCCCCTGGATTGTTACACCCATGTGGCTTGCAGGCAAAGAGCTCTCTGATATGGAAAGATCAGCTGAAGAAGAAGGATGAGTTCCTGCTTCAGGATGCCTGAGTCACTGAAATAGGCTAAAACACTATTAAAAAAATCTTCAAAGTCTTTCAAAGAGTTCTGACAGGCTTGAAAGGGAAATAGAGAACTTTAAAGTGTTTCTTTAAACTCTTTTTGTTTTACAGAATAAATGACTGTCTGGATTTAATTTTAAAAACACAGTAGCTTTTAACTTTCAAAATAAAATACACAATTTGCATATCTTGATTAGCAAAAGTTTTCATAAAATGTCAGATCCCCTAAGCCATCTTTGATTTTTAAGCATAATGTATTTTCAACTCAGAAAGCACCTTTCAAGTCAAAATATTCAAAAGGTAATACCAATATAAAAAGCAGAACAAAATAAAAGTGACCTATCCGCACAAAAAAAAAAAAAATCCCAGAAACAACCCAGATATACTGAATCGATTTTGCCCATTTCAAATCAAATAGCTCTGCATCTAATACACCATTTACTCCACAATTATAATATTCAGTTCTATGAGCAATTACAAACAACTTTCACATGGATGCAAAGTCACAAACTTTTATATTGGTTAGAAGACAATTACATCATCAAGTGCTGTTCCTTTCATGAAAACTAATTTTGTTTATGATGAGGGTTAGAAAATGCTCAACATTTCCTTTTCTCTGTTGAGAGGCCACACTACAATAAAGTATCCTTTACTTAGTAACAGTTCTGGAAGCTGAAGCTAATACTGATCCTTCAGGATTGTTTTTTGGTAGACATCAAGACCGTTTAATCAAAACACCAGTTAATTCCACCAAACTGGAACACCATGCTCTGTGTTACTGTTCTAGCCTGTGTTATTCAAAGGTACTTAAGTTTCAAAGATGTTTCTAAACTACAAATGTAAACATTGCTTCACTCTGTAAGAAAATACCGTCTCATGCATACTGTTACTGAAATAATGGTTCATTTCAAATGAAATATCACCAATAAAGCATTTCTTTTAAGTTCTTTTACTTCTTGCTTAACAAGTATTTAAACTCCTGAGAAAAGTAGTAAGGCTTTGTAAGACTGTAGGTCAGTTACCTCTCATTCTTGAATTTCACAGTTGGATAAGAGAGTCAATAAATAAAAAACTGTTTTAAAGAAAAAATAATATATTAAAAAAAAAAAAACCCAACCCAATTGAAAAGGTTGGATAATGAAGCCAAACATAAAAGCAACAGGTTTTTTTTCATTCTTTATATAAATATCTTTAAAAGAGAAATACAATATTGCAATTCAAACAAAAAGTTACTTTGATTATTCAGAATTATTTACAGGGCTCCAGCAGTCCTATCATTGCCCAGTTCCTGAATGAATCGAATATCAGAAGAGAAGAAAAAAGTAGAATCACTTCTAAGTCAATGCGTATCAGATTTAAGACAAACAAAGGGCATTAAACTGTTCAAGGCTGTAAAAATCAGCTTGTACAAATTCTAATAAATTCTACCTACTCCAAATCAAGAAAATATGCCTACAAAAATAACTCATTAAAAAGTTTAAATTACCATTAACTTAGTCATGGTTGGCCTTGGACCACCTATAAAATGGCTGTCTTCATGATCCTCTTCTAACTCATCAGGAACTGCAGCAGAGTCCTGTAGCTGTTCCTTGGGAGGAGACACCAACTCTGGAAGCTGGAGAAGCTCCATTTTGCACTTGTCAGCAGCTCTCTTCACCCCAGGTACTTCTTGAACTCTTCGATACCAACTGGATATCAGTGGCAAGTTCACCACTTGTTTCTTGCTGGAAACCTAAAATAATAAAATTAGAAGATTAGTGGCTACTGTAAATTTCTTACTACAAGCTACCAAAAGGCACAAACCACAGGAGCAAACTCAGCTCCACGCTGAGCACAAGCACTCACAGCACGATGGCAATCAGCTGGTTCAGAGCTCCACGTGGAATTGCCAGTTGGCCATTTAGACTTTATCTGCAATTCCCATTTGCTTAATAGGGTGAAAAGGTTTACATGACCAACTTCAATCATAATTTCAGTCAGTAACAGGAAAACTCCATATAAATAATACTCTTTAATATATGCTATTTCCTAACATAGGAAAGATTAGTTTTGGTTGGTCATTAGACAAAAAACCTAATGCAGTAATTTGCAATGAATACTGAACTCTAAGCATGACATTATGGCACCTGAATGATTTTTTCCACAAGTACCCCTCAAAAGCTCATCCACCAACAGCTGTTTTGCTGGGAACTTCAAGCCTGAAATACCTTAGACTATGTGGTAACAGGCATACATTACCCCTGGTCCTTATTCAAGTCTTTGCACTACATCTGTGGCTTTTTTTTTTTTTTAATTAGTACTGACTTTTTTTTTAATCATTAATTTCTTTTTAGAATCTTAAGTTCATATTTTTCTTCAATAACGGTAACTAGTATATTTATTTTCTGAATTAAGAGTATGATTATGAATTAATGTGGCCTCCAATAGAAACTAGCATTTTAAGTGTCAAAAATGAAATAAAAACATTTCGTAAGTAAGAATAACTTGCACATATTTTAAAAAAATATACCCAAATCACTTTTTCAGATGAAGTCCAAATACTTTTAAAAAGGATGCACTTGATAATAAATAAAATTATTTTTGTTATCTAGACAAAATTTATCTAAACAAAATTTTTGTTATCTAAACAAAATAACTTTTGTTTAGATTCCCAAATGTTCTAGAACAACGGAGATCATCCTCTTACAGGAGAGGTTGTGAAGTCTCCTTAGAGACACTCAGAATATAACTGGACATGATCCTGGGCAACTGGCTGACCCTGCTCTGAGCAGGGTGCTTAGACAAGATGAACTCCAGATGTGAATTCCAACCTCAATTTTTCCAACTTCAACTATGCTGTGATGCTGTGCCTGCTTTAAACAGAAAATTAAAAATCACAACTACAGGAACAGGCAGAAAAGGCCACACAAAACCAACATTCTTCTCCAGAGCTGTCCGAAGAGCAGAAATAGAAATTGGTAAAGAACACTTGAAATTACACAAAATTTCCAAGAGCTCTCCTGGATGCTGTGTTTATAATATGCTTAGGGTAATCACAAGTAATTAGCAATAGCTAAAGGAGCAAAAGGATGAACTGTGTAACTTTAGTATCTAATTTAATAACCTAATAGTAACACGGGCAAAACCACATTAATTCAGTTAAGGAAGAAGTCTTTTGGAAAGCAATTCTAAGAGGCACTGTTACACTCATTATCAAGTCTTCTAAATTGTATTTTTAAAAGTGAATAGTGTTTTTTCCCAGATGAGGACCTCAGCTTTTGTTATACTTCTATTAATTTCCAACAGTTACAACTAATAGAAGGCATAACAAAGGTAACCTCAGAATGATAACAGCATTGCAATGAGGTAATGAAAAACAACCCTTCAGCTTCATTATCTTACTTTTGGTAATTATAATTACAATCAGCTAGTAAGGCCTCCTCATATTTATAGGATGATATTTTCCAGACACACACTCACTTGAGACTTTATTATTATTCACACCCTTAATTCAAAGTGGAACTGCAACTACAGTGATTTTTTTTAAACACAATCCAGGAAGTCCAGTTATACAAGTGACAAAAAACACTTGAATACAGAATTGAACTCTGGGACTTCCACCAACAAGAGTAGTTTCAACTCACGGCCTGCAAGATGCAAGTTTTCCAATTTTGATGACAACTGCAGGCATCAAGGTATAATTGCTTAGAAAATGATCATTCACCAGAGAACAGAAATAAACAAACACTATCCCAGAGCTCTTGTAAATTAGGTAAAAACAAAACTGAAAGCCAGGTTTTCAGGGCAATCCTTGGTGTGAGTTAACACAAGTGTACTGTAAAATACCTAGGTCATGAGCTGCAGAACACCAGGGCTCAAGGGCAACATATAAAAAGTCAATAAAAACAAAATTCTTGGCTGCTCACAGTACATCCACAGAATGATCCCAACTACATTGCTGAAATCAATTATGCATCTGATGCAGAAATCTTCTCATGCCTAGCACCACTAAACCAAATATTACTGTAAAAAGTTATGCTCTTATTTAAAAGGTCTTGGAAAAATAAAGGCTGAAATACATTAAAGTTTTTTAAATAGTAAGAAAGCATTTTGTTTTAATACTTTTGTTTAGTATCATCCATACAGAAGTTGCTGTTTACCTCCAATCATGTGATTTGCAAAACAAACAAAGCAGATGTGAATTAAGAAGCATTTCTGTAAAATAAGTCATCCTCTCAATTCAAAGGCAGCATATTGCTATCATCATACAGAAATCCGCTGAGGATGATGATAATGGTTAAAGAAGTTATAAAGTGGACATTTGTCACATTATTAATATTTGATAGTCATTATCTTTATTTTTGAGACTGTTATCCTCAATCTGACTAACAGCATCTTCTCCAGGAATTCCATTTGTTTTCAAATACCATAAGGGAAATTTGGCAAACCAACTTGCAAAATCAAAATGCAAATGTTCCTGGAATAGACACCAGCTTAGCTATAAATCTCACAGAGTAACTGCAGGAATAGAACTGTAAGAGGCAAATTCACTGTAACATTTCACTGTGATGGGAAATAAAGACATAGCTGTAATTTCCTTAAATCTCTCCCTCCTATGCATCTTTCCCCATAAAAGCAAGTACACAGACTGTGCTGAGCAAGACTCTTGCACAGTCTTACCACAGAAGTTTTTCCCACTGTAGAACTAGTTTTTAAGTTGAGCTAAAGTCACCTGAACTAGTATTTTTAAATTATTATTTTCTGGGCAAATTGGTGCCAGAATATTTCAGTATAATATTTTAATAGTTAACAGAGTTTACTAACCATTGATATGCTTTATATCTAGAAGTAACTTTAGTGGCCTCACCAATCCCTGCTTTTTGTGTTTGTACAAAAACAAGACAAATCTTTGATTTTGGGTTAAGGTCACTTTAGAAACACCACAATATGTTCAAATTAACATATTTTACAACTTTTAGGTTCTTAAAAAACATACATGTACACTAACTGATAGTTGTGGAATTGTCAGCTTACCAAGAACTGATGGATGCATGGCAAAAGCACTAGATCTGCCACAGTAAAATAAAGCCCTTCTGCAAAAACATGGTCCAAGAGTGGAAGGTCAGAAGTTTTTGTTCTCCTGACGTGAGGGGCCTCCCTGTTGATTGCATCTGGTGCTTCCTGGGCAAGTAGTTTGGAGAAAGCTACACTCAGTTCCAAACTTGAGGGTGGATGTTCATGGACTTCTCTTGGTCTTAATCCCTCTGTTGCTTCTTCACCAAGCACAGGCACTGCAGCCTTGGCACCTGCCTTCTGTTGTTGAAGTTTCTGCCTTCGAATTTTGTCATCATTATGTACTCGGACAGGTTCTCCAAGCTTCCTTTCCAACAGTAAAATGTCAGGAGGAATAGCCTGGCAGTGCTCAGGAGAGGCTGTCAAAAATCTTTCAACAGCCAGAGGTATGCTGATCTCACAGAGCCTGGTCCACTGGCTAACCTGTCAAATAAAGTTATGTAATTAATGTCTCTTCAGAAAGAGAAACAAAATCCAGGGTAACTTTCAATTGCTTTGGTTACTCAATCACTTCAAGCAAAGGAATTCCAGCTTTAAATACATTCTTTGTTAATCTTAGAAACTCAGATGTTTCTGTATTGCTATCACAACAGCAGAGTTAGGAAGCTAAATCTTATATATAACAGAACAGTAATCCAGTACAGCATATTTTTATTTACTTATTATTGACATAAAATTAGGGTGGCTGTGTAACTCATAAGAAACAAAGCTGTGAACTGAGTTGAAGGGATGGTGATCAATGGCAACCATGGAAACAGCAATCATGCCAGGGTGGAGTTCTGCCTCCTGAGAGGCGTGAGGAAGGCAAGTCTAGATGGATGAGCTGCCAGATGAGCAAACTGCTGCGTGATAAATGGACTGAAATCTCAGCTCAGGGTAGTGCTGGTTAACAGGTCACACTCTACCTGAAGGCCAGTTAGGAGTGGAAATCTTTAAGGGTCTATGCTGAGGCCTATCCCATTTCATCATCTTTACCTGGAGGGGGGAGATGGAATACACTCCCATCAAGGATGACAGGGAATTGAGAAGAGCAGACAACAAATTCCCAACAAACTCCAAGGCAGAGCTGCTATTCACGTGAGCCTGCACAGACTAGAGAATGAGCTGAGAGGAACTGATATGAAACTCAGAATATTCCATACCTAGGAGGGGCATATCCCCTCGAATGGTACAGACTAGGGACTGACCACCTGGCCAGTTAGCCACTCTGCTGAAAAGACACTGGACAATCTGATGAGGATAAGCTAAACAAAAGCCACCTTGACAGTAAAGACTAACAATATATCATGCTCTTGAAATCAAAATCAGCAAGAAATTTGGTATTTCTTCGTTTACTTCAAAACTTTATAACTCATTTATACTGCTAGACATGAAACAAAGATCTGACCTACTTTTTAACATTAGGTTCTTTTTGTGCTGCTAAAAAGTAGCATCTTCAAAAATAATTATTTTTCCTCTTTGTGCCAAAATACAGGTACTTCTCCATAAAGAAAATTGCATTTTCTAAGCAGATTAAGTTTTATACTAAAAGAACTTACTTGACATGAGTATTAAGAGTCTACTTCAGAGCATTTAATGCTTATTAAAAAACAATCAATGTATCTAAGAGAGAGACACACTCACTTCAGCACAGGCTTTTAAGCAGGTCTTCTTAAAGCCCAAGAGTTCCAAAACATCCTTTTTAGATGGATCTGCCTCGAATGTTTTCTGTATTATATGTCTTAAGACCACAGAAAGCCCAGCTCGGCAGAATTTGTCATCTTTCACCACAACAGCAGGTAAACTGCAGCTCTGCACAACCACTGGAAGCTGACACCTGGAGATTAAGTGGACCTCAAGGTCGCCAGCGAGGTTTTTTGTCACACACTGATCACTCACATCTTCGCCAGTTGGCACTAAAAAAACTTTAAATAATTTGCAGTCACAGTAGGATAGCAAAAACAGAGAGATAGATGTATGAAGAGGAAAGATACTATCTCTGTACTGATGAGAAAAAGCCAAATATAAATGTTCTTCGGCGACGTTATCTTTCATCTTCTTCCTGAGATGAAGTTCCTGAAATAGAAATCAGAGTATGACATCCTTAAAAGAATACAGAATAAAAAAATAAAAAAAAAAAAAAAAAAAATATTAAATCACTGGTTCTTCCACTATCTGCTATAACTGATTTTAACACAAGACACTACTAAAGACATCCTGCCTGAATAACTGGCGGGCTCCTTTCTGAGAGAAAAGAATGATTTCACATCTACACTGTCTCTTCACATACAAGATCATGGATAGGAGAATGACCTCTGTACATTTTTTTTTAGATTTTAGCATATTTCTGACATCAACTAAAACCTAAAGTAAATGTTTCATTTTCAATTTTTAAGTGCGTAAACATTTTAGAGAAAGGCTTTGGTTTTTTTACATTAAAATGTCCCATAATATTAAACATGCATTATTAAAAAAACAAGTTCCTGAGCACGTATCTACAACAGTCAGCTCCCTAACACAAAGATCTGTCTTTTTGTAACTGCTAAAAGGCATTTATAGCAGGTCTTTAGGCTATGGGAAATAATATTGGTTTCTGTATTAAAAATTAATCTAGGGTTGGGTGAGATAATAACTGAAGGACTCATAAGCAAATAAACATTCATGTTGTGATACTACATGAACACCTCAAACACACAACTACTTTAAAGCAGTCCAATTCAACAGCAGCAGAGCTGAAATTAATATCTTCTCAGTGTATTAAAAAGCTACATTTTTCCTACTACGATATTCCACAGGAGTTTAACATAAGGCACTGATGCAGTAATTTTTCTGCTCCATCACTCAGCAGAATTGCCCACCGCCTGAGATGACAGGTGGCACTGAAAAGCCTCAGACACTAGATGGCCCTCTTACCACAAGCGACACGGGGCACAGCTCGAGCACGGTGAGGAAGAGACATTTAAATCTTGCTGAGAAAGGCCAGAATAGGGTTTTATAGACATATATATATAAAGCACGAGTGACACTGGAACAGCATCAGTCTCTCACATAACTGCCTAGATTAATAAGGTCTTTGCATAATTACAACTGCTTGCATTTTTACAAATGCAAGTATTTTAAAATAAAGTTTTAATTTGATACATCTTGATTACTCAATTTCTTTTTTTCCACATAGACATATACATCACACTTATTGTATTACCTACCACAGGACCAAAACAAATTGTCCAAAAAGAGGGAGTGGAAGAATAAAATCAAGTCCATGACATTAAGAATACTAATGTCTGTTACAGTGACACATTTTTAAACCATTAAATGACAAGAAGTGTGGCTGTGCTATGAGTACTGCTGCTTTTCTTTAATTAATACAGTGCCACACAAAGAACAGGACAGTACACAATGCCATACCTACTTCACCACAAGATATTTTATTTGGGTAAATCTTGACAGCATGGAAGTTGAGGCAGACTCTATATTCCAAGTGCACCTCTGTGGTAGAAATCATCCAGTGAAGGCACTGCCAGAGAGGTAAATCAAGAAGAGTTACTGCTACCATAGTCACATCCATAGCTCCTAGCATTTGAACTCCTAGTCTCAACTACAGTACCTCTTTCAATTTTAAAAAGTACTCTTATATGCATTTGGGTTAATATTTTTGTTCTCCATGAGAACTCAAAGAGCTCACAAGTCCATCTTTTGCTGGGCATGCAAAACACTCATACACATTCACCTCATCACTGAATTTTTTCTTCTGGTTGATTGAATCCTGGACTCAATCAGCTATTTTGGTCGTTTTCGTGCTATGCAAAACTGCTAAATATTTTGGTAAACTCTGACAAAGTTTATATTTCCAAAGTATATTATCCTATAGTTTCCATCTATTAATCATCCAATCTTACAATTTATTTTTAAAAACTTCTTACAAGTAATTTTAACAACTGGGCTTCCATAACGACTGCAACTTGACACACAGGTCATTAGAATACCAACACATTCAGTCTGGATTTATTTGAATTGTTAGTTATTGCAAAAATTTCCATGTCCCTCCACCACACCAGTAACTGAACATCTCACAGACTTTCCTCTCAGAGAGCCTTGCACGGTGGAAGTTTCCTGTGTTCCTGTTACACATGTATAAAAGCAAAAAGCACAAAGAGAATTTATAGTTCAGTGTCACACTGGAAGTCTGTCCTAGGGCAAGCCAAAAACTTGGACATTTTTCCTTAAGGGCTTGGTTGTTTGGTTGGCTGTGAGATTTTAGGGTTTTTTAAGGTCAGTCTATGACAATGAAAATTACAGTCAGGCTAATTTTATTCTCAAATCTCTCACAGAAGAGAAACTAAAATAATCTGTCCAGGAGTTCTGTCTATAAGTGACTTTACCTCTGTTTCCTCATTGTTTCCTGTGAGAAGAAAGGCCTTCTTGAATCATCACTTCAACTGAGCTGTACACTCTTACACTGCCACACTCCACCCCTCTCCCATATTTTACTTCTGAGAATTCCTCCCAACATTTTGCCTCCAAGCACTGACATTATAAAGTCGTTTCCTGTATTTTTTGTTTCCAGTACCGGTGCTCTTCCACACTGGTTGGGCTCTGCAGAGTCTATATTCCTTGTGGATTTATGCACAGATTTTCAATTCAAAGACTTAACAATCTGGTTACCCGTTCTCACTTAAGTCTTTTCACAAAACTACTACCTATCCATGAAATTTTATTAATCCCTTGGCAGCTTACTGAGACAAAAGCAGACACAGACATATACAATAAAATGAAATGTGCAATACAGAACTAACCAAAGCTAGTAAGACATTCCACTATTTGCTCACAGTATTTTTTCCCAGCACTTTTTTCTCTAATGAGACCATCATTTCTGTGGGAAGAGATGGATTTTTATTCTATTGGCCATATTTACAGTAGCCAGTTTGAAAGAGGGAAAATGAAAAGCAGTGACCAATACAGGATTTGCACCGTAACTTAAAGGACAAAGATAAATCATGTTGCCTACCTTTGGTATAAAAGACATCTACTTCAAACTTAAAAATATTATGTCAGTGTAACTTTCACTAGCTGTGCTGGTTTTTACCATTTTCTCTTCCCTGTCAACATGCACTAAACAATAGTTAAATTGGTTTCACTCAGCTGCCCTGTTAACAACGCAATAAAGAAAAACTGCTTTAAAAACAAGTGCTTCCCATAAAAAAACTAAAGACAAATAAATAACTACAAAAACATCCTCTTCCTTTTAGTCCCTGAAAAGGATCCTATTCATTTGTTGATTACTGCACAGTAAAACGGAACTTTTGTTAAGCAGGCACGTTAGCATTTGAGAAATGTTTCACACAACGCCACTTAAAACGCGGCAAACATTTAACTTCGTGCAAAGCATCATTTGTGCCTTAAGGCACCTAACTTGAGAGCCTGCAGCTCTGTCTCTGTCCAAGACGATCCATGCGCCCAGGGCCGCCCGTGCACACAAGCGGGAAGCACAGAGGAGCTTCGGAGCCCAGCTTCAGGCGGCTCTACGGATGGAGCCAAAGTTGTAGACGGTTCGGGAGAGCCAGACGCGGGCGGGCCATGAGGGACAGAGCCGGGATATGAGGGACCGAGCCGGGATTCAGGACGGCAGCACACGCCTGAGCTCGGCTGCTGCAGAGAGCGACACCACCGAACCAGGACTCCCTCGCAGCCCCGCTCCCTAAAGCCTCTGCTCCCAGCTGCTCTCGGCGCCCAGGCAGCGCTCCAAACCAGCCCCAACACTTTGCCACGACCACATCCCCTCCATCCTGCCCTTTCTCCCGCTCCTTTTCCTTACCCCGGCCCGGCCGCTTCCGCCCCGGCTCCGCCCCTTCCTGCGCCGCCCCGGCCCGCGCGCACCGCCCGGAACTGCCGCCCGCGGCCCGCGCTGCGTGGGGGGACTGCGGTGGTGGCGGACCTGCCTGGGCGCCTTCCTCCTCCTACTTCTTCTCCTCCTCCTCCTCCTCCTCGTTCTCGTCTCCGGTGAGACACCAGCGGGTGGGAGGAGGGGACCTGAGAGGAGGAAGAGAGGATCGGGAAGAGGAAATTTGCCGTGGGAAGGGAGAAGGAAGAGGGTGACTGGGAGGAGGCAGAGAGCGACTGGGAGGATGAAGGAAGAGGGGAGTTGAGAGAGGGAAGAGGGGGTTTGGTAACAGGAAGAGGGAATTTTGGTGTTGGGAGGGGAAGAAGGGTGTGGGAGGAGGGGGAGAAGAGGGATTTAGGAGGAGGCAAAGGGGGTTTGGGAGAGGGGAGGAAGAAGGAGATCGGGAGAGGGCAGAGGAGTCTGGGGAAGAGAAAAGGAATTTGGGGGTGGGAGGAGGAAGAGGGGGTTTGGGAGGAGGAAGAGGGGGTTTGGGAGCGGGACGAGGCGTTTGGGACGAGAAGAAAGGTGTTGGGAGAGGAGAGTGAGGGCAGGTTTGGGTGGGAGAAGGAGGGTGTTTGGCAGGAGGGAGGGAGCGGGAGCCCTCAGGCACGGCTGGGCGCCCTTTCCCTGTGAGCCCGGCGGGACACGGCGCTGCCAGCACGGGCACGCCCGGAGCCGCGGCCCTGGGAAGTCCTGCGGGCAGTAATGCTTGTAGGAGGGTGGCATTTCATTCCTTTGGGCGTTCTGAAGTGTTGTTTTTGCTGCCTTTCCTTCGTTGTAAAAAGAAATCCCAGGGAGAAATCTGCAGCAAGTATGTTGCGGAGGGTCACGTCGTGGCTTTGGCGTAACTGTTTCAGAAATTAGCTTTTAACTAAAGTTTGCTTCTCTCTCTGAGAGATTACCAGGAGGATGATACCCAGGAATTTGTACACCTGATAAGTTTCAGTGTAGACGTTGAATAATGCAAAGGTGAAAACAGCAGTGGAGGTGTACTCAATTTACCTGTGGCTTAAGCCAATGAGCAGTTCTGTGTTGAAACGTCTTCAGGTCCATTTTCTGCAGAATGTTAAAGCTCAGTGGTAGCAGGGCTTAACAAATCTCAGTTGTGCAGGTACAATGATCACAAAATATCCTGAGGTGAAAGGCACTCACAAGGATCATGCCATTTATCAGGAAAAGGATTCCCAAGGAAAATATGTCACCTCTGCTGCGTGGAACAAGTGTGTTAGTGAGAGCAGAAACAGATCGGGGTCAGATAGTTGATCTCTTCTTTGACCTGTAAGGTCTCCCAAGGCCTTTTGCCACAAGGCAGAGCTTAAGGAGAGGAGGAGCTACAACTTGTGGAAGAGGATTGAAGCAGGATTGTTCCCCTGATAAGTCCATGGGCCCAGGTAGACTGCATTCAGGGGTGCCAGGAATTGACAGTGTCTTCTTCTGTTATCTTTTAAAGGCCATGAGACTGGGGGAGATCCCAAAGACTGGAGAAAGGCAAATCTTGTCTTCATAAAGGGCAAGAAGGACAAGCAAGAGAACTACAGACTGGTCAGCCTCATTCCTTCCTGCTGTGGAAGGATCGTGGAGGAAGCCATTTGTGGCATAAGGAGGTAAAAACTGGGTGAGCAGAGCCAGATCTACCAAGAATAAATCATGCCTGATCAATTGGCCTGTCCTCTGTGACTAAATAGCTAGATCTGGAGATGGAGGGAGTGTTGGATACCATCTGCTGTGGACTTAGGGGGATATAATGGGAGCTTTAATTTACCTGAGGGTATTATTGGAAAGATAGAGCCAGTCTTCTTACTCACATGCACAGAGGGAGAATGAGAGACAGCACAATTTAAAACCTCCAATTCAAAGGAAGGAAATGAGAACAGTGAGGCATTGGAACAGGTTGCCCAGTAAGATTTTTGCATTCCTGTCTTTGGAGATTTTCGGGATCCAGCTGGAAAAGTCCTGAGCAAGCTGGTCTGAATTCAGTGTTGACTTTGCATTGAACAGGAGGTTGCAGAGGGTGGGGTCCCTTCCGCAAGGAATGATTCCATAATCCTGAAATAATTCACTGTTTCTGTGGAGAAAACAGCAAATATAGGGCATTATTGTAATTTTTAAAATATTGGATAAGCTGGTTACAGTGATATTGATTGGAATACTAATTTAAAAGAACATTATAAAGTATGTTGTAGAATAGAATGTAAAATTAAGGATGCCAGTACTAGTAACTCCATAGCAGGAGATCTTATACGTGTCTCAAAAGATTCTTTGAAGACGATGACAAGGAAATTAGAACTGATTAATACAATTGTTCTCATTAATACAGTTATCCAGACTACTGAAGTGCATGAGTTTTGAAATGTCCCTTGTGAAAAGTAACTGAGAAATTATCCTGCCATAAATCAAGTGCTGATTAAGATACTTAAGTAGCAAAAACTGGAAATAGAAATTAATTTTTTCCCGCTTTTAAGATTTTCCTTGACCTACTCATTTAAGACTCATCAGATCTGAAAGTGACCTGGAAGAGGCATTATTGGTAAATAAACAAAATCTGCCACTGTCACTGTTAATAGATGTTGTCAGGAAGAAGGTAAATTCAGAGGAACAAAAGGATCCAAAGTGACAGGGAAAAGTGAATTTATTTTATGGTGGTAAATGGAAAACAGTGCAGTGAGTGTGTTGGAAGGAATTATAAGCTGTTGATTCATGTGACTGTGTTTTAAGGCAACTGCTACAGATCTTGAAGATAGCTGAAAAGGATATGTGAGTGAAAGGCCTTTAATCATAAGTGGCAGTAAAAAATAAAAATATTGATGAGTCTGTAAAAGGATGGCATAATAGCAGAAGTCCATAATAGCACTGCAATATAAATAGAAGATGTGTACTTCCTTGGAAAAACATCTTTAACAGTGCACCTGCCTCAGAAAATAATAAGAATGGGAGCTCAGAAACAGATGGTTGAAAATATGACCATATCTGAAAATGTAATGGAAGTAGATCCATTGAGCTGCAATTTATCATGAATAAGATAATACATGGCAGGTATGCAAAACAATAGATGGCAAATGAATGAAAAAAAGAAGAGGGCTCCTACAGCCTATAAATCTAATAAGTTTTAAATTGGAAGACCACGTATTCTCTAGAGTGCACAGTTAATGTTGATTGTATTTGGCAGAAGACAAGAAATTAAAGAATCCAAAACTTTTTGGATGTTTTAAGAATAACAACTCGCTGATTAACATCTATGTTTCCCCATGGATTTAAATCACTTAGAATAGCCCACCTTGGGAAGTAACAGAAACCCAGGTTGAGAAAGGTGCTTTTAGGGTTAGGCTGATGGGGGAATGCGTGATTGCAAGAGGTTCTGCTTGTTTGATGCAAAACCTGTTCTGCTCAGGGTTCAAGGGTTTTAACACAGCCCTCTGATCTCACAGCTGCATTATCAATCTAATACAGAAAAGACAGTGTCATACTCACTGTTTTCTAAACAGCATTTTAATTATTTCCTGTACAAAGATTCCACTTCAAGAAGAAAATCAAGGAGGTCTGTCTTGCAGAATCACCTATGGCTTCGTCATTGAAACACTCTGCTGTCCTTGTCTCAAGGCTGTCACATTGCTGTATGCTGACTTGACTGCCAGAGGATCAGTTTGTGCATGCAAACATGAATGAATGAAATTGGATCTTGGGTTTATAAGTGTCAAACCACTGTTTGATACTTAGAAATGGTTTGATCTTTGAACATCTGGAAAGGGCCACTACCAAAAGCAGTAATTTGCCTTTTGGACCAGGACAGACATTGTTAGTAACCTGTTTGACAGCAATATTATTATGGTCCCATAGGGAGAGTATAATTATCAATTTGTTTTTTTCAGATGATGATATTTTTAAGTTATTGATATGTCCATCTTTCCATTGAACATACTTCCCTTTTCTAACTCACTAATAGATTTTTTAAATTTGAAAATAAATTCCTAGACTGAGCATACTTGAACTGTTTACTAAGCCCAGTTTCCTTTCTTCTCATGAGAAATTTCTTGTGATATGTTAGTCATAAGTGTAGTAGCCTGGGACATTATCATTATAATTGTCCTCAAGAACAGAGAAAGAATTGCTGCAATTACATAGCAAATAAAAAAATAAATATGGAGAACCCTTTTGAAATTTGGGGTTTAACACTTCCTTTCAATATATGTCTTTTAAAAGCTAGAGCTAGAAACAAATCTGGGAAGTGTTACCTTCAGAGAGATGAAAATTGAATTATGTTTGCATTTATTCTTAAAATATTAGAGAATGGCTGTTGAGGCTGCCTGTTTCTCATGTACACAAGTATGTATTCCTAGTAGAATTCCTCTTTTGCTCAGAGAAGGACTTGAAGGATTTTTTTTTTTTAAGAGAGTTCTACAAAATTTCTGAAATTAGTGTTTTGATTCTGCAGTTTGCATTCAACAGAGGGTTTAGCAGAGTCCTGGTTTAAGAGTGTGTGGTACTGACACTTGGAAGGCATGCTCACAGAACAAAGAAATGCAGGACATAATCCACTCACAGATCTCAAGAGCAGCCTGAACATTTCTCAGAGGTAGATGGATAAAGAAAAGGGGATATGTGCTTTCTGTGCTCTGTGAATTCACTTTTTGTAATCATCAGAGAGACCGAATTGCCAGGACGGGTCTTGCGCTGCAGTCTGTGCTTGATCAGTGATACAGCTGAGTAGCTGGTGGGTAGCGCTTCCTGGCAGAAGTTCTGTGGCCACCAGAAAATGATTTGTCAAGTAGCAAAGATTAAGGAAGAGAGAGGAGGCTCTTGAAGAGGTTTCTTAGCTCTCTGCTGGGTCCATTGATAAAATCCCTATGAAGTTCTGTACGTTGAACTCCTTGATGATCTCAGTCAAGCGATTCTCTGGTGTCTCGTGAAAGCTCAGCATGAGATAAAGGCTCCTGGGGACTTGTAGGCAGGTGTTGAGGGAGCAGCCTGCCAGTGCTGGTGTTTTGGCCAGAGAGGTAAAAGTTCACTGCCATGAATATCAAAAGAAATTCATCAGACAATGCCTTAGAAGCTTCAGCTGAAAAAGCTGTCCAGACAGTGCTTTTGATGAAAGAACTGATGAAAGGCTTTTCACTAATGTCTTCTAGATTATTGTAGGTAAAAAACCCAAACCCACAAACATCCTGATGTGTTTTAAATGAGACTTGAAGGGATTATTGACAATAACACTTCTCACACATTTTTAGAAAATATCAGGAAACTTCCCATGTTATTTCTTAAATTATTAATTGCCGTTTACTTATTTAAGTTAGGTATCTATCTCTGTAGGAACAATTTCTGGTGCAAATGCTGTTCCTTAGAGTTTTTTAAAGAAATTAACACAGTGCTCCAGAGTGCAGGAATATATTGCTATGAGGCAAACAGTTTTTTAAAGTCATTGTAATATTTTCCTCAGTTTATTTCCATGGACACTGTGGCATCTCGCTGCTCTAGATAGTCATTATCTGACATTACACTTAGACTGTCACATGAGTATGTGGACAGGTCACAATCTGAGTTACAAATTTTTTCACTGTTTCAGCTAAATTTAAAAATGTATTTTTCAGCTATTTCATAGTTGCTCTTAAATGATCAATGAGTTAGAAATCACTGTATGTGCAAAAAGTGTTAAGGAGAAGGGTGGTAATTGCTTTTCTTGAAGTTAATATTAGTATTTTGCATACTTTTCAATATTTTTATATACGAAATATCAAGAATATGATTTTTTTTTCATTTACGTAAGTATGATGAGTTTCATTTCTGAATATCATATATGCCATAGAATGAATTTGACATTTCAGATGTCCAGTCATATTCTGAATTCTTCAGCACTGAAGTTCACAGTCATCTTCTAATGATAATTAATTCACTTATAATCCTTGCTGTGGCTTCATATAATTTCATTTTTAAAAGAAAATAAATCTTCTATTTGCCACATGCTGTTTGAATTATGCTCCATGTGAATAAAGTTGTCATTGTTTTTCTTTTTTCTTTTAACTCACATTGAAGACACAACAATGGCTGCTACAGTGAACTTGGAGCTGGATCCCATTTTTCTGAAAGCCCTGGGCTTTTTGCACTCAAAGAGTAAGGACTCTGCTGAAAAGCTGAAAGCACTTCTTGACGAGTCGTTGGCCAGGGGAACTGACTCCAGCTATCGTCCCTCTCAGAAGGTACTGGCTGGGGAGCATGGCTCCTTTCTGTGCGCCTTAATAAAGCTCCTGCTGTTCCTGGTTCCTCTTTTACAGCTGAAAAGTTAAAAGAGAATCAGAAGTTGAGGAAAAAGTAATTATGGAGTGTTCATATTCATCATTCCCCTTTTTCATAGAACGTAATCCTTTCAATTAATGGAAGTTAATGGGAAAAAAATCTCTTTACCTTGTTGATCCACCAAGACTTAAAAGAGATGTTCAGCATTATATCAGATATGCTGTGTAAGGTGCACCCAAACTTACATATTTCTGCAGTTACTTTTCAGAACTAAAAGTTCTTTAAAACTTTGCCACAGAGAAATAAGAAACAAAATAAGCTATTTACCAATAAATCTGTATCTCTTTCCTTGAAATTCTGTTGATGAAGTCATATGAAAAAACCACCAAATGGTTCAAAGCAGAAATTAATTGCAGGCTGAAACCATTTCTGTCCAATGGACAAGCATTACTTTTCATCTGCTGAAAATCACTGAACACCTGCTAGAGAGAATATTTGACTCTGAGATGAGCGTATGGAAATAGCCAAGCAGGGACATCCTCGTGGTGCTGTGTATTGCCATATGGATAACGAGGTATTGTTCTCCCCTAGGATGCCTGCATGTCAGCCTGCTGTGTTCTAATGATGGTCTGTATGCTGATACATTTGCAATATTTCATTTCTATGTGGCTCCAAATAATGAAAAGATGCGAGTACTGCTCAGCATACATCATGCTTTATTGTGTGGTCTAGCTCCTTTCTGTTCATTTTGTTAACTCCCTGAAACCCAACACAGGTCTCAAAACTCTCAGGTGCCCTTTATCTCGGAGGTCAAAGAAATGCATGGGTTAAAGAGAAAGCAGGGAGCAGAATAACAGTGCAGAGAGGTTTGGGAAGCCAGTTCTAATAACAGCTTGGCTGGAAGTCACCTGCCCTCAGGTGAAACTGAGGTTCAGGCCACAGGAAGAAACCTTTCATTCTCCTCTCTTCAGTATTTATCCAATATCAGCAGGACTGCAAAGGTCAGAAATGAAAAAAAGTGCAAGAATTCCTTTCCTTGCATTCACAGGCTGCAGGGTTAATTTGTGTTTGACTGTGAAATCCAAGAACATCGTAGGGAGCACAGGATTACCACAGTCAAGTCAAGGAACTTTGGAGGGCTGAAGCTCAGGGCTTAGACCTGTCCCAGTATACAGCAGAGAATTGCTCCCATTTTACCTTGCTGATGCCCATCAGTGTGACTAGTCACTCATTTACAGGCTCTGCTGGTTATTATCCATTTGCTGACATTAATGTGTCATTAATGAGAACCATTGATTTCTGTTGAGATCTAAATTTATTAATCTGATAGACAAATATGGACTGAGATTAAGAGGAGGTCAATATTTCTCTCCATGAAGGAATGAATTATGTCTGGTTATATCAGTTGTCAGCTTCTGTTTCTAGCTTATACTGAATTTTGTCCTCAGAACTATCTGAAAATTCATGTTCATTACCTCTTTGAATTTTAAAAGCAGAAATATCTCATTTTATATTAATATTCCAAAGAGGATCTGTCTTTGGAAAAGGAGCACCTTTTCCTCAGAAAGGTGAGTGGTAAGGGAAGATTTTATTAATTCTCTGCAATTTAAACACTAATTTATTGATGTGATGTGAAAATTGTTTGAGAATCTTTTTTTAAATGTATATGTAGATGATCAGTGTTGTATGGCATATTGCTTGCCTGTCCTATTATCTCACTAATTGCAAATTAGGTAGGAACTCAATAGCAGAATTTGGCTTCAATTTTTGTTTCTGTTTCCAGGAAGTAGAGCAACCAAAAGTATCTGTCACCAAACCCATAAAGCAAGAGCCTAAAGCTTCATCGAGTTTGCCTTCTGGCAACAACAATGGCAAGCCCACTGCATCAGAAAAGGTGAAAAAAGAAACAGAAAAGAGATCTGCAGATAAAGTAAGTTATTTTTGTTCTCTAGTGAAATAACTTGGTTAATAAACTCAAAGGTGTTTTAGACAAAGGCTCCCCTTTTCAACTCATTGTATCTTCAACTCATCTAGCCTGTGAGCTACATTAGCCAGTCATGTTGCCATTTAGGCAGTCTAATAAATGTCTTCTTGTAATTATTCTGTGATTGTTTTCCCTGCTCCTTGTGGGGAGGTTGGACTTAAGGGGTGCCTTCCAAACCATTCTGTGTTTTAAATCCTAGGAGATTATCTCATAAAAGATTACTAAAATGTAGCAAGTTGAAATGTGATATTCCCAAAGCTTTTTCAAGGATTTTGAGGTGAAGTACAAAAAGGGAGCTTGAGCTTCTAGTTCATAAATATTTTGAAGAAAATATGTAATTAAAGAAAATACATTGTGTGTATGCTGCATAAAGTACACCTTCTTATACTGCTAATATAACTGTTCCATTTTAACTCATTTTAATAATCTGCTAGCTTGTTGCATTTTCACATTCTGTGTGTGTGTGTGTGTTTAATAGATGAAAGGGGATCCCGCTGAAGGAGCTGATGCACCAAAGAAGCCCAGGGTAGAGAAGCAAGAGGCTCGTTCCTCTCCTATTACAGTTCAGACAAGCAAGGATTTATCCATGCCTGATTTATCTAGCTTTGAGGAAACCAGTGCTGATGACTTTGCTATGGAAATGGGATTAGCCTGTGTTGTTTGCAGGTAAGTCAACATTGCTTCTTTCTAGCTAGGTGTAGTTACCTTTTTATTTTTTTTTTTTTTAATTGAGTTAATGCTTCTCAAAGTTTTTATTCCAGAAATAACTTAATCCAAATCACTTAATATCCAAAACTGACAATACATTTAAGGCTTCTTCATGAATGAGAATGGTTTCTTGAAAATGGAGCTTTTAGTGAGTGAACCAGCTTTTCTTCTGCAGGAAAGGACAAGTGAAAAATAAAACTAGATAACATGCAAAACCTATAATGACAAATATATTGTTCAATTATTGGAAAACAAAATATTAATGGCTAGTGATAAGCATTTTTTTAAAAATTTGTTCTCATCTGAAAGGACTTTCAGGTGGTATTAATATGAGATCTGTATGAGTTACTCTTCTTTTCCTTATAATTTGATATTAGTTTACACATAGCCATGTTTTATCAGCAAATATATCTTGCAGTGAAAACATGTTGTTTTTAGGTTCCAGTAAGGGCTCTAAAAGTGGACTTATTAACATGGTACTAGCAGTCCATTTACTGTTAACAGATGTACAAAATACTTTTGAATAACTACCCTAGGATCAAATCACTCATGTCAGGATTTTGTTTCACAGATCATTTATATCCTTGTTAGGCACCAATGCTGCCAAAAGGAACAGTTTGGCTCTCCCAATTTTACCTCCTTCCCTGGACTGTTTAGGGGGGTGTATTGCCAGTACAGTTTGTGATCAGCTGAATCAGCCCTTGGATCAGCTCTCCACGTGGGTGTTTTAGTAGGTTTGAGTTTCAGTCAGCTCAGTAAGAGTAAATGCTGGCACATGTGTGGATGCAGGAGTGTAGAGCCAGGACAGAGAAGAGGGACAGGCCTTTTGGCAGCAGTGTGCATTTTAGCTCAGCTTGAGTCAGTTGGGAAGTGGCATCTTATAATATTATTCTTTCATCATTTCCATGGTTATTCCTGTTGTGAAGATAGGAAAGTGTTGTCAGTGCACAGAGGATAAATTTCTGTAGTTACAGATGATTATACTGGTGACCAGTTGGGGACTGATGGGATTTCATGTTATTCCCATGTGTTAGCTCAAATATTTAGTTTCTTATTATAGACATTGAAAAAGGAAGAAGTATATAAATATCTGAACTTCACCTTTTTTTCTGGCAAATTCCATTTTTCCTGTCTCCTAAAAGAGGCAAAGCCCCATTCAGTGGTATGTTAAAATGCTACTAAAAATAGTAAGGTATTACCTTGTTTGGCAGGAGGGGATAATGAAGTTTTGTTTATACAGTCTTGACTGCTGTGGATGATTAATTCTGTGTCTTCCCTGGCAAAGAAAAACACTTGCAGGCATAATGAGAAATGCCTGCAAAGTGAAGAAACAGAAGAAAGAAAATACAACTCCTGTGCCCAGTGTAGCCAAGACTTGGAAAGGCACAGGCCAGATACATGGCTCCATTAGCTGTTCCACAATCCATGTTTATTTAACCTGGCTGCTGAAGGCCCTACTTCTACCCGTTCATGGTCACCAACTCGAGTGTTCTTGCAAAAGATGTATCTACCCTGGCTAACTAAAATATCTCTGATGCCAGACAGAGGGAGAAGCGCTGCTGGGGAAGGAACAATGCATTAGAGAGAGTGGCAACAGTCACCCCAACACTCTGGATCGTTTTCATTTTACATGGAACCTGCTGAAACTGATGTCACCATGGTTGTCTGTCTCCAGCTCGTACTGGACTGGATGTTTCTCAGAAGACTTGTGCTTTAAACTTCTGAATCCAGCACATTGGTCAGACAGTATTCCTCTATTTATTGCACCCTTTTTAGGGTAATATCTTGAGCCAAAATAATAACATCCTTGTACGTTTTTAAAATTACATCTTTTAATAACTCAGTTACTCAAACAGTTGTGAATGAAAACATGTCAAATTGCAGAGTAGGTGGAGTTCATAGCAAAAGAGTTTATATTTGTATTGCTTAAGAAGGCAAGCCAAGGAGAACCCAGCTTTGCATTTGTGGGTTCACAAATGCAAAAAAGTGCTTTTGTATATTAACTATTCCTTTTTAGAGATGTAAAAACTAAGGCAGAGGCATGAAATGTTTCTTCAAGATTTGCCAAGTGTCAAATGTATTTTCATAGTGATTAGAAGTAATTATTGTTGATGCCTGTGGTGTTTTTCTTCTTGTTCTTTTATATCAAATTTGTTGTTCTTTTTTACTAAGTTAGGCATAAGGAGGGAGGGAGTATTAAAATAACTTCATCCTCTCCAGTACTTGCAGGCTGGGAAAAACAGAACAACTCACCAGTTACAGAGGCTCCTCACTGGCTCCTCTGTTGTACAAAGAGGAAATACTACATGAAATTTGTAGATGATAGCGAAGTTTTCCTCCCAAAAAGAAAAAAATTTTAAAAGACTGGTTTGGAAATAACACCCTAATTTTCTATGAATATTTGTTTGTTTGGTTGGTTTTTAGGTTTCAATACTTGTTTGTTTTGAAACCTAAAAAATCATTAGGTTTGTTTCTTAGTTATCTTATAATTTAAAAGTAAGTAGTTTAACTTGTTTCTGGGCATGATGAGTTCATGGGTTTTTAATCAGTTGGAGATTGATTTTTGTAGTTTTAAAATAGGGTGAGTCTCCTTCCTTGAGGCTCTTTGTTCTGATCCAGTTTATTTAGGAATAAGAAACAAAATGCCTTTTAAATACCCTGAATGTAAAACAATGGACCCTAGAATTTCAGAAAGGTTTCCCTTTCTGTTTTTAAGTAGACTGTTTAAAAGAGAAATCTTTCTTAGAAAATGTTCCAGTACTTATATGGACAATACCTTCAGACTTTGTTTTTCTGTTATATAAAGAAATAAGGGATTACCTTTCCCCATGTATCTACAAATAGAGTTTCCATGGTTACCTGGGTACCTGCTCCTCGGGGATATGAGCAAAAGCAGCTTAGCAATTAAATAGCTTGATTTGTCATCTGAAAGAAGGAATCGTTAGGAAAATGGTATTTGGGTAATTCACAGGCAGACTCCCAGCCATGTATATATCACTAATGTGTCATTTATACAGAGTGATTACTTTCAGCCAGGCCCACGCAAAATGAAGCCCTCATCACCAGCTTGCATGTTTGCTTCAAGGCAGGACTGCACAATTAATCCTTTCTATTCCATCTCTCCCTGATCCTGGTATTATCTCAAATTCCACGTGTCTGTTTATGGGGTAGAGACCAAAGGGATGGCTAATAAAACATCTTCAAAGTAGCGTAGAGCTTGGGTGATGATGCTTTTAAATCCTGCAGCAGAAAGCACTCCTACATGCTTGTCATTGAGAAATTATTTGTTCTTGAACTGTATTGCTCTGCAGCTGACAGCAAAATTACCCAAATGGAGACTGTCCCTCATATGCTATTATAATGAGGAAGTCATAATTGGCGTGCTGTGATGTATCCATAAAATGCCCAGGTGAACCAAAGCGGGCAAGACTTACATCTCTACTCTAAAAATCAAACTGGGAAATCAAGACTGTCATATACACGTTTAATAGAATGGAAGTCTTCAAATCTCTTGAAAGTAATTACCTTTAAAAAATACCAAATTTCTAAAATATTAGTTAGGAAGAACTGATACAGGAAGAAGAGGAATACATTCAATTTGCCACAGGTAGAAAATATATGTGAAAGGAAAAATATTTTTATTTTTTATCTTAAGCCTTACAAAATTTTCAACAATTGGATAATCCTCTAAGTGCTTTCTCCCATAATCTGTTCTTAACTATTTGCTCTGCAGGCAAATGACAGTTACTTTTGTGAATCAGCTAGTGGAGTGTCAGGAGTGCCATAATCTCTACCACCAGGATTGCCATAAACCTCAGGTGACAGACAAGGAAGTGAATGATCCTCGACTTGTCTGGTATTGTGCCCGCTGTACCAGGCAGATGAAGAGAATGGTAGGAGTCAGTTTTTTGTCTTGTGTGAGCACTATTTGAATACAGCAGGCTGTTTCTACTGTGTGAGAATATTTCCTGGGTTAGACAAGTCTTAGGAAGCACATTGGAGAACCATTTTTCTCAGCAGTAGAGAGAAAAAAATCTTGCTGCAGCGATGGTTTTTAATGTCGCATCTCAGAGACTATTCTGTAATACACTTCTTAAACAAAGCTTTTTAAAAATCAGAAGTGAGTGAAGAAGAGTGAAATAGGATTGTTTCCTGCTTGGCAAGCAGTTAAGACCTTTTTTTTTTTTTTATTTCAGGTGATACTCAGCTTTTAGTAATAGCCCTGCAATTTAAGTTTTCTTCTCAGCTTTGGATATGAATGATTCTTTTCCTGTAGGACAAGACTGCCAATTTCAGTCTGACATGTTGAATGTTCTCAGGGTCAAAAATAAGCTGAGGGTAGCACATTCCAGTTTAAAAAAAAAAAAAAAAATTAAAAAAAAGTGCCTTTATTTTGATTTATCTGCATGACTGAACAGTATCCTACCAGATTCCCACTCATCTCATTATGAGAAAAAAACATAAGAGCTTTGGGTGCATACAACATTAGTGACTGTAGTTCTGATGTTTTAAAATCACACCTAGAATGCAGAAAAATACAGCCAAAAATGTGTTTTGAAACTGTTCTGTGATAACTGAGCAAGTGTTATCTGTTGAAATGGCTCCACTAAGAAACAAGGGAAGAAGGCAAAGTAAGATCCTGGCCTAGGATGTACCAACATTGACTGAAATATATGATTATTCTGATGAACATCAGGCCTTTGAACTCAGAGGAGTGTTTGCTTGAGGTCAGTTCCTGCACAGGATAGCCAGTTTAGCCATTGAGCAGTTGCCTTCAGTATGGCCTTTGTTTTTTTTGTTTTGGCATGAATTCTGCCATTTTGCTTGCCACTTCTTAGCAGGCTCTTGCAGCCTACATCCCAGTACTGCTGGACTGTGTCCTTGTCTTCTGCAAGTTCACCTGTCTTTGCCTTAGTCCTGTAAAGGCCCAGTGCTTTGCTGTTCTCCAAGCATCAACACTGCCACTCTTTCCACACTGAAATAGCAAGCTCTGTTCAGGATGCTTTTTGGCTGGTTCCTGTCCCCAGTATCATACCCAGCACATCTCCACATCTCCTGTTGCCTCATTTCTCAGGGACCATTAAACCTGAAATTGTAAAGGCTAGATTGCAATCTTAAAATGCTCATGGTTTTTGTTAACAGTCAAAACAGTCCATGTTATGTGGCCCATAACTTATTCAGGGTGTTTTTTTCCTGCCACTTACACAGGCTCAGAAGACACAAAAACCACCTCAAAAACCAGCTCCTGCAGTGGTTTCAGTTGCACCAGCTTTGAAGGATCCATTGGTCAAGAAACCAGAAATCAAGTTAAAACCTGAGACCCCACCAGCTTTTCTGGCATTCAAGAGAACAGAAGTCAAGGTAATGTAGATTAAATTTACCAGAGGAAGAGTGTTTCACTGCGCAGATAATAGGGTTTTTTCAATTTGACCAATCTTTTCACATAAGAGCCATAATTGAAAATAGTCTCCTACACTGTGTGGACTGATTAGTACCAGAGCATAGTGGGTTTGCTTGAACACTGAAAGAATGGAGGGCAAAAACCTCACTTGACATGTGGATGCCCCATCTCTGCAAGTGTTCAAGACCAGGCTGGGTGGGGCTCCGAGCAGCCTGGCCTAGTGGAAGGCATCCCTGCCTATGGCCGGGGGATTGGAACTAGATGACTTTCAAAGTCCTTTCCACAACCTGAACAATTCTATGATTCTATGAATTGTATAAAATGCATTATTTGCTCTCTGTTGTCAAGTAACTTAAGTGTATTTTGACACTTGGAAGGCTTTTTCTCATGGCAGCAGTGGCTTTGACAGTGCTGGGTTTACACTTGAATTTGATGATCTTGAAGGTCTTTTCTAGCCTAGATGGTTCTCTGATTCCATTGTAGGGAAAGTGTTGCTGACTCTGTGAGATTTAATTTAGGAGCTTCTTAAATATAATCTGATCTAGGGGGTGGCATTCCTGCCCATGCTGGGAGGGTTGGAACAAGATGATCTATAAAGTCCCTTCCTGCCCAAACCATTCTGTGATTCTCTTTGATTCTGTGTTGCCTCATGTTTCTGTTTTTCCAAGTGAAAACATTGTCAAGTTAAAACATTGTCAAAAGGTCAAATTGGTCGAAGGTGGTAAACCAGAAGCAGTGTAATAAATAATAGAGTAGTCTAATAAAGCATGAGCCTTTCTTAGGAAAACACAGCTTTATCTGAAAACCAAAGCAATTATTCATGTGCTCAAAGTTACGTTTGCCACTGCTCTGCCTGGATGCAAATCATCATGAACACTAAGATGGGTATTGCTCTAGCACTTATACTTATGAATTACTTTTTCACCTCAGCAGAGTTCTTTATGTGCCTAAACAGGTTGTAAGAGCTGGGATCTGATTTCTTCCATCAATTTACTGTTTAGAAGTTGTCTGGGTATACTATAAAAGGAGTATTACTTTAATAGAGAGCTTTAGTTTTTGTTTTGACTCTGCCAATTGGTCTAACTCTGATTTAAATCAACATAACATCCTTACCTGAGGCCTGAGGGTTGTAGGGTTTAAGGTGTGGGAACCCAGTGTGGATAGCACAGTGCTTTGCAGGCAAAGGGAACCCATGTTTGCTGAAAGTGTCTTTTGCAGTACCTGAATGGGAAAAGACTATAGGATAGTACTTGTTTGTTGGTTTTTTTTTCTTTTTTTAATTCTGTCTGTGGTACAAGTTGCTAAGAACCAAGAAGAAAGGAAACAGTTTAGATTCTGCTACGTGGACAGTAAGACTGTAATAAATGCAATACTTAATTGCTTGGTGTCTAATTTTTGTCTGAGCGTCTGTCAGCTTGTTGAAAACACCTGGTAACAACAGTAAGCAAATAAAAAAGAAGGCAAGCCACCACTTTTTATATAGTTCACAGATTTTTATTGTTTATGGAGGGATCACAGTGCTGTGTGGTAGTCTGCTAAGTGTACAGAAGAAAGGGGAGAAAGGATCCTGTGTTCTGTGTGCCTGGGAGATTGAAAGTTGGCTGCACCTGGCATCCTTTCCTGTTCTTGTTAGTACTTTTCAGCTGTGGTGACCAGTGATGAAATATTGTCCACTGGGTGTTCCTGGGAAAAGAACTGAATCAGAGGCTCAGTGTATTCCTGCTGTGATGTGTTACACAAATAGATGCTGCTATAATAAGAATGCTTATTTATTTTAGACCTCAGCAGCAGTTTCGGGGAACTCTGCCAGTACAAGCGTTTCCTCTTCAGCAACGAGTGGCCTTACAGGATGGGCTGCTTTTGCAGCCAAAACCTCCTCTGCCAACCCATCAACTGCCAAACTGGGATCGACCGCACAGAGTGCCAGCGGGAAACCTGCGGCTTCTTCAAACAACCAGAAACCCGTGGGTTTGTCAGGGCTGGCGACTTCAAAGACAGGACTGGGGGCCAAAATAGCTTCTGCCAACAACAGCACGAACCCCGTTCAGCTGAAGCCTCCCCCGCCGCTCACCCTGGGCAAGACGACGCTGAGCCGCTCGGTGAGCAGCGACAACGTGAGCAAGGCGGGGCTGCCCAGCCCCAGCGGCGCCGCGCCCGGCACCGGCGGCCCGGCCGGCGGCGGCAACGGCAGCGGCGGCTCCGCGGGCCCCGGCGCGGGCGGCGCCGGCAAAGGCGCGGCTGACACCGGCAGCCAGCCGGCATCCCTCAAGGGCCCGACCTCGCAGGAGTCCCAGCTCAACGCCATGAAGCGGCTACAGATGGTCAAGAAGAAGGCTGCTCAAAAGAAGCTCAAGAAGTAGTCTGGCCGCTAGCTGATGTTGTGTTTGTGAGACGACGGCGTTGGTGTTTTTCCTTAAAGGAAATCCCCCAGGTACTGGACTGAAGGGGGTTAAATCAGGGAAGCCCAAACCTTATGTAATACAGAAGGTCGAACTTTAATAATTCTGGTATTCCTTCTGCCTTTCCAGATCTGTGAATTGAATATGTTAGAGGAATTCATTATTACATGAAACTTGAAATTGTAGATGTCGGGTCTTTTTTAATATTAAAACCCCCACATTTGTGTAGATACTTAATAAATTGAACTTGCTGAAACCATCATTCTTAAATGTTAATAATAAAAAGATTATTAATCTGGGAAGTCATTGCCACTCTTCTTTCACCCCATATTCCAATACTTAAAAGGCTTCAGATGTTCAATATTGTGCAGTTTATTACCTCAAATTATAAAGCTGATTAGAGGAAAAACTACTTAAATTTCAAAATTTAACTGTTCAACAACAGTGTATTTAGATTGAGATTTTAGGTTTGGCAGTTTGCTAAAATTGAACTGTTTTGGTTTTATACAGTGAGAAACTTCAACTAAAAGGAACAGAAGAGAGTCAAAACTGTCTTCAAGTTTTCTTAAAATGTAGAGAATCATCCTGTATTTGAAAAGTATCAGGTACTCCAGCTCTCCACTGTTATCCCTGAGCTGTTCCTCATGGTTTGTGCTCCCTCTCTTCATCCCAGCTGCTCCAGGTTGTGTTCAGCTTAGAATAGGCTCAAGGGTGCCACTGGAAAATGACCTTGAGTCTTACTCTCTGTGACCAGCACGTGGCAATTTCCCTCCATTCCTTCTGTGATGAGGGGAGCATCTCTAAACATGAAAACATCTTGGACTGTATTGGGTTTGCATGGCCAGTATTATTTTCTCCTTATCATACTCTGATTTGATGGGTAATAAGTCACATTAATCTTCCCAAAGCTGAGTCTTGCCCATAATAATAATAATTAGTGAGTGATCTCTCACGCCCCTTATCTTGACCTGTGACCCTTCCATCTTATTTTCTTTGCCCCCCACCCAGCTGAGGAGGGGAGTGAGTGACAGAGCAGCTGGGGTGGGCACTGACATCTGTTCATGGTCAACCCACCACACAGACTGGCATAGGTAGGTGAAAGCTTCTGTTTTTCTTTACCATCCTGTATTTTAAGTGTGTGTAAAGCTTGATGCACGTGGCAGCTATTTCCCATACCTCATTTCCTTTCTCCACAATTAAGACTTAGGCTAAAGTTCCTTACACAGCCAAAGGAATAGTTTCATTTACTCACGATTGCCTCAGCTGCCTGGAAAATTTGCATATTTTTTCAGCTATTATTTCCTGTGGAGGGGAAAAAAAAAGAAAGGTTTTATCTTTACAGTGCCTGCAGCTTCCAGGGCTGTGTAAAAATAACAGCATGAGGAGGAGGAATCCAGAACTTCTACTGCTTTTTGATCAGCCCATCCTTCCTCCTTTCCAGCAGAGGGTTTTTAATGGTAGCATAGTAAGAAAAGACACTGATGCAGTTTCCATTAGCAAACAGAAGGGATATTTTCTTCCTAAGTGATAATCAGAAGACTGTTGCCTACACTAAGAAGTAGTGTGAAGATAGATTCTTCAAATGGCCAAGTGCTCCTACGTGAAGTGTTCATTCCAGTAGTAAAACCTGCTCCCAGAGGAGTGTTCAAGGTGCTAGGTGCCTCTGTCTTGCCTCTGAACATAAAGCTTTACTGGTGAGAGTGCAGGAGCTTACATCTCAACTGTGCCCATTACTTTAAGGCACAATGAGGTGAACACTGGCAGAAAAAGAACGATCCTTGTTTTCAACTTGTGGTAGCTGGTGCCATTTAGAATACTCCTGAGACCTGATTCAAGTGTGCCCTGTGTCTTTGCATCTGTAACTGGCATGGATGGACTGTAGGGCCCCTCCATTCAGAATGAAATAAGTGATGCTGTGCCTTTTGTGCCTTTCTTTTCCCTCTAATAAGGCCAAGTCTGGCTGCACTCATCGATAGCACTGCATTAGCAAAATCTGCAATACAGGTACAATTTGCATCAGCAAAAGACTTTCTTCCACTGTAACTTTCCCAGCTTCCTAAATGAAATACAAAGTCATCTTCTGTTGGTATAAAAATGTCAGTTAGGATTGTGATTCTTTGAAGTATTATATCAGAAAGGATTTATAGCACAGACCAGGTCTTTTAGTGTTTAGCTTGAATATGTTAGATAGGCACTGCTGAAAAATAGAGAAGATTGAAGGGAACAGTTGCTTTCTGCTTTGATGTTATAGTTAGGATGGAATTAACAACTGTATTTTCAGGAAGGGAGTCTGTTCTACAGGCTTGTTTGACTGAAGTTGTGCGTCAGGTTGAGGAATGTAGTGTAGGGCAGGAAGAAGGAATGCCCGTCTGAAATTTGAGAAGCATGCCTCCTATTTTGTAAAAATAACTGGAAAATAGTCCTGTGATTTTTCTATCCCCAAACCAAATTGCTCTGTGATTTACTATAAAAATAGCTACCTGACTTTTTCTTAAATGTTTTAGAGATGGGTGTGGTAGTATTTTACTTCCACTTAAATAGGATGGTTTTTTCATAGATGCCCAACTTCTGATACCCTCAGTAATGTGAAATTATAGGTTACTCTGGTTCCATGAGTGCTCCTTCTAGTTGGATGCTGGTGATATCTGTGTCTAGAAAGGTATAACACAAGGCTGTGTGGTTTAAAATCTTTTATCTACTACAGCTCGTAGTAGTCACAATCTCAGAAGCAGCTGGAAAAGAACAGAGCTATGCTGACATCTGGAACCTTGAAGTGTATTTTTAAGCTTTCTTAGTATTTTCGATAGTGCTTGAAAAGATCTAATGTATTGATCAATAAGCTAGGATGGATCCTAGAAATGCAGCATTTTCTCTGAGGCAACTAACTATTTCTTCTGCTAACTTTGCAGGCAGATCTTGGATAGCATATAAAGCTCTTTGCTTCTGGAAAACATCATGTTTAAAAAAATAATAAGAAGAAACATCTTTACAAAAATAGATTTTTATTATTACAATAATTTAAAAGAAGATTTTTTTTTTTACTATTTCCCAACAATATTGTAATAGGAATTATCAGTAACAGATCTATGGGAACAAGGATTATCATGGCTGTGTTTCCTAGTGCAGGTGGTAGGTCCGCTTCATCTATCTTCATTTTTAAAAGCTATCTTAAAATGACAGCAAAAGCATACTTTAGTGTTTGAAGGAGGTAATTACTCAGTGAAGCTTCCAAAGATGAAAAGTCAGAAGGAATAATTCTTCAGTCTGTGTTTGCATTGAAAAGCTGAAACCCTGCTCAAAGATCACCCAGCCAAAGGGAAGACGGTGAAGCACAGAGGTGCCAGAGGTCAGAGCCATGGACTCTGCTGTGTACTGGCTTGGACATTTTCTGGGTTCCAGGTTATCAATGGCAACACATAATATTCCCTGAATGGAGAAGCACTTCAGTTTTAGTGGACCCAATCTTGGAAGTACTTGTACATATTTATTGTCACGACAGCTCAAGTAAAACACACATTTGAACAAATGCAAGATCAATCCAGCAAACTGCAGCCTGTCCCTGCTTCAATCAAAATAAATTAGTTTTGTCATTAATGAGAATAAGAAATCTCTTAGAATACTGTAACCTTCCCTATACTAAAAAAAAAATCCAGTGGCAAAACCATTGCATATTCTTACGAATTTCTGGAGCCCTAACACAGCTCAGTTTCTAGTATTCAAACACTGTCTTAACAAAAATATGACTGAGCAACTCTAACATGAATTGTTGTAAATCCTTCATTTGGAAGGCTTTAGATTCAAGGAGCATCTCTTAATTTTCTGCAGTTGCTGTTTGCGTTCACCTGTTTTAAAAATAAAAGTTTGCGATATATTCATAGTATCAAATGATAATGGCTAACAATTTGAATTTCTGAAATGGACTAAGCCAATCCACCTGGGTACCTAATTACATACTTTTACTGGATCCCAAGTTACAAGGCTACAATAAAGTAATATAATTATCCCACAACATAAAAATTATTATGGATCCTAATCCTACAGGGATTTCATTTGGCCTACTAGGAGTTCCCAGGTCCCCCAGAAATTCATGTGGTCAACTCCAGTATATTCATCCTTCATTCCTTGTTGCTTCAGGATCAGGATACCTATATTTTGGAGAGCAGCATTTGAGTACTCTTTGAGACACCTTCACAGAGTCTGATTCTTCATGGGGAATGTACCTAACACTCAAAATCTGAGCTCTCCTGTGACTCAAGCTGAGTTCTCAGCACTAAGACTTCAGAAATCTTTTTTTTCCTCTTTCCCTTGATTAGTTTTGCTGTCTGAAATAAAAACTTCATCATTGTGCTTACATGACTACATTAAGCCTATTAAGTACAATTCAGTCATTTCTAAAACTGTTTCAGCTATTGCAAAGTATAGATCTTCTACATATAAAATATTCTAAATTGTAAGACAGAGCTGAAAACCTTCGTGTGTGTATTTTCCCCATAATCTCAAATTATAAAAGCCAAAGCAGTAAAAGGGTAGCGGTGAGTCTTTCAGTCCATTCTTCCAAGCTGATACTCCCTCTGCACTTTTATTTTCTTCATTTAAATAAAGGTGAAGCTTTCCATAAAAGCAGCTAAATCAATTGATTAAATTATTGAGAGCCCTTTTTGCTTGCTATGAGAACATCAAGATTTAAGTGCCTGAGATGATGTACAATAAAGCAAAATAATGCTCACTGGATAGCAGTAGTACACAGAGATTCCCACACCAGATTCTGGATATCTATCTCTGAGAACTCTAGAAGTTTCTCTATCATATGATTTAATCCAGCACAAATTTCAGGTTTAATCTCTGTAATCCCCTGCTGCATTCAATCTCTGAGCAAGACTGACAACTTTTTCTACCCTTCTATGAAAATAATCTGAAAATTGAGGACATTAAAGAAAATGAAACCAGGTTCATTAGCATAGCAGAAACTATTGTGCGTAGCAACTGCCCTAACTTTTTTTTGTGCCCTAACTGCCCATCCTTTTTTTGCTGACAGGTTATTTTCTATTACATCTCACTAAGCATTTTGAATCATTTTATCTTCAAGCCTCACTCTTCAAACTATGGGAAGTAGAAGCTCAGACAAAAGCTTTAGAACAATTTCTGTTTGCCCTCAACCATCAACACAACCTGCCCCCCCCCACACCCCCTTGATTGTAACAGTGTTGTCATTTTTGTAATCAGTACAAGCCATTATGCAAACCAGAAAATACCTGACAGGAGTTTACTTTCAGTTACACTATTTGCAGCAGGCATAATCACT